AAATATAAAGCGGAATACAAAACTACAGATGTAAAAGCTGTGGCTTCCTGAAGGTCAGAGGTTGTTCAAGAATACTAAAAATATTACAAACAAACAAAAAAGCAGTATGATTGGGAGGGAACATCTGAAGATTCTTTGCTACAGTCAGACTCTAAATTTAACCCATCCGGTCCCTGTTTCCTTATCCTCCATCCACCTTTAGATTCTTTAGTTCTGTCATCCAATGGAGGTGATGGAAGGTGGGCTCAATCATAGGTCATGGGTGAAGGGGTGGAAAGGATGGTTTGGGGCATGTACTGTGTGACATTTGGGGGGGTGGGGCGGGGGTATCTATTAAAAGAGATGTGTTGGTGTTTGAGTCCACAATGCCTGTTTGTTGGAACCCTGTAGGGACACTCAACAAGGATGCCAGAGCCAACTAAAAAAACAGGTATGACCGTGTTTATTTTGTTCATAATTCTTTGACAAATAGCACATTTTAATAAATAACACGTTTTTGTCAGTCAGGAGACTTTTAAACGGTGTTGTTTTGAGTTGTTGGTTGAGGAAATGTTACCTGAATTTTGACCCGATGTGTGCTGGGTTTTCTGTGATTATGTTCTTCTTGATTATGTGAATTGTTGTTCTGTATCATGTGAACAATTCATCTGTAGTAATTTGAACAACATATATTGGGAAATGTCAGTTGATTTGATGAGTAGTTTCATAATATTATCACAATGTTCTTTTTAAAAGTACTGCATGCTGCAGCTGCTGTTTTTTAAGCCTACTGTACGTATAGAAAGCATTCAAAGCATGTGACTGGAGTGTGACAAAGCATGAGCACCTTTCTTGAAGTTCTTCTTGGCAAACAATACATAAATTATAAACTACCTTCTTTTAAACCAAAACACCATTTGATGGCCTATCTAAGCAAAAGTGATAGAATAATGGCAGTGGATTAAAGGACCTTTTTTTCCCAAAATTGCACATAATAACCCTGCCTAAACGGGAATTAAAGGATTGTCATAATGTGATAGCACCTGTTTTGACAGCCTACTGCGGTGATATTCGCTAAGACCTACAGCATTCTAACAATGCTGTTGCATTACTTTTTAGCATTAAGCAATGGAGTTGTGGTAGCCCTAAAATCCATCTGTAGACACTTTCTCCTCCCTTTTTAATCTCTTCAGCATAATTCAAAGGTTCTAGATGAGTGGCTCTCTTCCAGGGGCCAGGGCCAAATGGGGTCCTCGGAATACTTCCAGGGAGGCCCCAATAAGTCTTAAAATGTATGTAGTTATAATCTTAATTGAAATTATAAAAAATATGTACAATATTAAACTGACATACTTTTTAAACAACAAATACCAGAGGTAAAGCTAAGTTAAGAAGGTTGAATATTGTCTTGGACAAAGTTAAAGGAGACCAAAAGGAGGAGAAGCACTACCTCTTGACTCATAACAGGACATCTCCACAGCAATGTGATCTTAATAATAGTTTATCATGACTGAACAGATTTTCTTTTGAAGGCTTTTGAGTGACACACCCAGACTCTGTTTGAGGGGTAACCATCAGCATCTAGTATAAGCTTCATGATAAATGTCACCTTCATGAAATAGTTTCCCTTCCATTTCAAATGAACATGTTTCGTGCTTACCATACATTATAGTTCAAAACATATTTACCACAGAAACATCATTATTTTATTACCACTGCTCCCAACCATCCAGATGGCAGCACTGGAACAAAGACAATGTGGATACCAGCGGTTTTGAAATGGCAAGAGAGGGATCAGTCCTTGATAAACAACAGAAATAGATCCTAGCTAATCCATCTAGCAGCTACCTGGGGCTGTGTCAATGTGGGGAGCACATGCATTCTATTTTTAAACCCAGAGGGTTGGCTTGTTTTATGCTCAAACCATCTGCACTGATGTGACTGAAGATGTGTAACTCAAAGTGAAAGAAAGGACAATGAATAAGCATGTAAGAATTCAAGGCATGCAATAAACTAAATACATCATGTGTTTTAGTTTTTTTCACTGGACATAAAAATAAGACCACTACAAATCCATTTAGTTTAGAATTACATTTATAGTTTGGAATGTACAGTAGATAGCACATTGCTAAAAAGCACAATGACAAAAACAATACGAGTGGAATTTATCTTCGATTTTTAATCCTGACCAGCTATGTAATAACTTTTGCTTTTTTCAAGTTTGGTGGGCAAAATTATATATTGTAAATATAAATTAGACTTGTCTTATAATTCTTGCTTTTATTTTAGGGTGACTTAAGTGTACATGTTTTCTTGTATTTCTAAACAACATCTCAGCATAAGGCCATAGTCTTCAGGCACATTTAAATTGTGTGATATCGGAGAGACTAGAGAGGAAAAGGGGTCAGGGCAGGACATTTTGGAAATGCATCCTTTCCTTCTGACCTACCCTGCGTTCCTCACTCCTTCAGTCTCAGCTTTCACCAAGAAACCAAAGACTCAGACGGCTGAGATTGGGGCAACGGTCATATTTGAAGCAGAGACTGAGAAGACTGATGTAAAAGTGAGATGGCAGCGAGACTCCAAGGACATTGCATCCAGTTACAAATACACCATCTCAGCAGAGGGCAATATGCACTCTCTCACCATAAACAATATAGTTCAGGAGGATGCAGTGGGATATGCTGTTATTGCTGGGGTGTCAAAGGTGAAATTTGAATTAAAGATAAAAGAATCAGAAGGTAGGTGTTGTTTGGATGGTGACTCACATCTTCCTGTATTTAACTCACTTTTAGCCCACCTTTGGTTTATTTGTAAACCAGTCACAGAGCACCACAACCAATTCTCCTTTCCAATTCACTTTTCTCTAAAGTTGCAACTGGTTGTTTTTTAAATCACCTTTTCTGAGCATGTTGTCACCATTTTAAGAATTTCCCAGCCTTCTATGGAATTTGGGAAACTCACCAGAACTCTTATAGCTGTTCTTCACTTCAAACACTTATGCCCTTCAGTGCCCATTCATGGAGCTTGTGATCCTGTTAGGCATTGTGCATGGACAAAAGATATGTATGGGTTCAATTAAATACTGGAGGAATAGCTAGCCTAATATATCTTTCAATCTTTCATTACAAACAGATTTAATTTGAAGCTATAATCATCAGGGGAAAAGCAACACAATTATCCTTGTTGAAACAGAAGTATTTAAATGAAAAAGCTTAATGTAACACTATAATATTATAATAATATTAGTGCCAATTTTTAGCACACTTGTCACATGATATACAGTATGGCCAATGTTTCATATCCTCCATTAATGCTGTGCTTTATCTGGATATATTGGGACTAAAAGGAGTTTTAAGTCTCTACCAGTGTTGTTTCAGTCAGTGGTTATTAGTCAGCTATTTAGAGCCATTTATCCAATATCCAGACACAGCGGAAGATGAAAAGCAAGACTCTGTCCTAATTTGTGTGGCCATTGGAATCCTGAAGAGAGCGATATCAAAGCTAAAAGGGCCCCTGAGAACAAAACTTTGCACGTAAAAGCATGTTCATTAATAGACAGGTATAGGAGCATTTTGAGGGTATGTGTAAAATGTTTTTAGCCTCTGATTTTTTGCCTCACAGAATCTGGCTTTAAGTTTAAAACGCTATACTCAAGAGCCCCATGAGCTGAAGAATTAGCATCTTCCTCTGACCTAGACCTTTTTTCTGATATGTAATTGCTTTTATAGATACAGGAATGATGAATTATAAATTAGTGATGGAAGTAAGTAAAGAAGTAAAAGAAGTAAAAACTTCTATGACCCAGATGGGTGAATATCACTTGTTTTCATCTGCCAAAATGGCATTTTAAGGATTTTTTCACTGTTGCAGTGAAGGAAGCACAAAAAGCTATATCCCCAGACCCTGCTGTTGCAGAACCTAAGCCTGAAGAACCTAAAGAGGCTCCACCAGCACCTACTGGAAGCTCAGCCTCGGACACCAGTGGAACCGTGTCAGATGGCTCAGCAACTGAAGGTGAATACAAAATCACACGGACATATTTAAATATGCAAATTAATTTCATTACACATTTAAAAATATTAAAATTGACTGGATAACAAACCTATTGTTCTGTTTGTTCTTCAAGGTCTGCTTGAGAGTCATCAGCCTGACACAAGGCAGGACCTTACTGGTCTCTTCACTGAAAAGCCTCAAAGTGGGGAGGTAAATGTAGGTGAGTAACAGAGCCTCTGGTCACGAAGAAATGGATAGTACATATGAAATATATTTTTTCTTCCAATCTGTTCCCCATTGTAGGTGAGAACATTACTTTAGTTGCTCGGGTGTGTGGTGAATCTCTGCTGAAGAAGCCCACAGTAAAATGGTTCAAAGGAAAGTGGATGGATCTGGCCAGCAAGTCAGGAAAGCACCTGCAACTCAAAGAGCACTATGACCGCAACTCTAAGGTCTGACAGTGGTCAATACCAAACAGTTAAATAGTATACTATATCAATATGTTTAGAAAAGCTTGAAAGTCAAAAGTAAGCAAAAGGAACCTTTTCTATTCAGGTGTACACCTTCGAGATGCATATCATTGCAGCTAAAGCCAACTTTGCTGGAGGTTATCGTTGTGAGGTCTCCTCTAGAGACAAGTTTGACAGCTGCAATTTTGACCTGGTAGTACATGGTAATAAAAATAACTATATGCATGCTTAATAAATATCAACAAGGAATGAATAAGTCTTAATTGATAACAGTACCAAATTAATTGGTAATGTGTGCTTTTCACTGTGTACATTCTACTCCAGAGGCACGTACAACAGATGGGTTTGATATTCGCACTGCATTTAGACGCACGTGAGTATTTGTCTTTGTTTTTAATTAACTACAAATAATTAATTTTAACAACTGCATCATCAAATTTGAAAAAGATGATTACTCATGCAGGCCAGCAGTATCATGCCATTTCGCAGCATATTAAAGTGTTGGTTTGTTTGCTTTCTTGAATGTTGTGGGGTTTGATGACATGATTTTGTGTGCGTAGATCCTAGCGCTTCTTTATGTGGTTTGTTTTAATGTAAAGATAGCATTTGAGTCCATATTTGGGATTTAACATTTTGTATTTATATTGCATTAACCCTTTTTGGAACTGCTGATTACCCAGGAGCACCAGTGCAGGTGGTAAGAAGAAGATGGGAGAACCTGGCAGGTAGCTATAGGGGTTTGCTGCAGCAGCTGGGGATATACTGTATTCGCACAGTCATTGTCTTTACCCAACCAAACCCTCTGCTTTGTCATCAAAGAGTTCATTGAGTCCTTCAGTGTCCATCCGTGTCCCTCTGTCAGTCATCTGTTATAGCTTGCCCTTTTCTTTCTGTCCTTTTCAATCTTCCCCCTTTGTCTGCCAACATCTAAGGAGTGTGATATTAGTCATTGCTGATGCTTTATGACTCACTCTCCAAGGATCTTTGCAAACTATCATTTCCTTTCTGTTCTCTTCTTCCGTCTCTTCTCACACTTTTCTCTGTTTTTGTGAGAAGGGCAATTTCCCAACACTCATTACTGGTGTATCAGAGGCAGGGGGCCTTAAAGTGAATATGATTTCCCTGTCCACTGATCTTTTCAAGTGCAGACACTGATTAGGAGCGAGCAAATTAGAGGATCACACTAATAACGCTGCCACCAGTTTAATCAGACTGTGTGACTCTTTGAAATACTTCCATTCTGGTTATTTGAAACGTAATAACAGAAATCTCTTGATGCACTTCTTAACTTTGGCTGACACCTTGTCAAAAATCAGTGGAACTAGCTGCGCAAACTTTGAGTGACGTGTCTCTTTTGTTGCTCCTCTTCATGTCTTTAAGACGTTCCTTAAAGAAAGCTCATCATGGGTCATACATACAAACCCTTAAAATACTACTAGCTTCACAGATCAGAAAGAAGACTCAAGATGATGAAAGAAGGATCGAGATGATCACTTGTTATAAAATTGTTGCCTTATAATAACTATATAGCTGCCTAGGTCTTTGACATGTATACAGTGATGTGTGATCATAGCGGGCGTCTGCTATGGATTTCTTCTGTACATCAGCATTTCTGTGTTTTTAACCCTCGTCTTTGACATCCTCCAACAATGTGCGTTTCAAAAACAGTATAGAGCAGCTCTGTTCCAGTTTCTATTGCCTCAGTAATGCTGTCTGTATAATGTGCATGCATGGTTTGTGCATCTACACACCTGTCCCATATGTTCTTATGTGTCAGTATACACTACCATTCAAAAGTTTGAGGTCAAAAAGATCATTTAAACTTTTTGTTGTTGTTGTTTAAAAGAAATAAATATATTTATTCAGCAAAGATGCATTTACAATATAGTAAAAAATTTATTAATAATAGTAGATGCTTCTTGAGTACAAAATCAACATAAGTCGACACTGAAGACTGGAGTAATGGCTGCTGAAAATTCAGCTTTGCCATTACAGGCATAAATGTTAAAAGTATATTAATCAGTTATTTTACTAATACTACTGTTACTGTTCTTACTGTAATTATTGATCAAACAAATGTAAAATTTATTAATAATAGTAGATGCTTCTTGAGTACAAAATCAACATAAGTCGACACTGAAGACTGGAGTAATGGCTGCTGAAAATTCAGCTTTGCCATTACAGGCATAAATGTTAAAAGTATATTAATCAGTTATTTTACTAATACTACTGTTACTGTTCTTACTGTAATTATTGATCAAACAAATGTAGCCTTGGCGAGCATAAGAGACTTCTTTCAAAAACATTTAAAAATCTTACCGATCCCAAAATTTTTGAACAGTAGTGTTCATCCATTCCATATGTGTTGTAGATAATAATACTAACATAATTGATATTCTGTTCTTTTACAAAACAATGTATTAAATACATTTTCGTTTTTAATAAATGACTGCATTTTAGTGTTACAGAAGCTGTTTTACCTAGTTTGAAAATGTACCTACCTTACAATGAGGTGAGAATGTAACATAGTTCTGTGTGCTCATGTTTTGTGGTCCGTGATTCCTTGCTCTCCTACAGTAGCACAGATGCAGGTGAAGACTCAGGAGAACTGGACTTCAGTGCTTTACTGAAAAAGAGGTGAGTCTTTAGAGATCTAATTCATCAGATACATTCATTGCCTACTTTAAAAGTTGGGTTTAAAATCTGAGACTGAAAATGCAATATTATAAGTGAACAGGTCAAAAGTTGCACTGAAATAATTCTGATGTTTTAATGACATCAGCACTCAAGCTAACATGATTCTGAGCAAGTACATTTAGTTCTTCAGTGGAAGTAATAACACTTAACATTTGTACAGAGGAGTTTACATGCTCAGATTCACAAATGTTTGATTAGTGACCTTTGAATAGTTTAATCAAAGACTTTAGATATATTTAGATGCCTTAAAGTGACTTTGGTTGAATCTAACAAAATCATAGGTTTCTTTTTTTTGGATTGATGCCTAAAATTGATTTTGAATCCAAGATTTTTTAAAGTGTTCTCAGCTGTTTGAACTCGTATGGTGTGAATGAATGAATTAAATATCTTTCAAATACTGAAATGTAAGCTTTATTTAGTTATTTTTTGCATTTGAACTACACAATGATTTTTTTCTTCTAAGGCTCATCTATGTATAATTTTTTCCCCGTTTTTCTCCTCTGTGGCTGTTTCACTCCCATGTTCAGAGAGTAAGTGAGTCACACTGATCTGACTGCGTGTGCATGAAGGAATGTTGAGTGTTGTATTGCCGAGTGTGTGTGTGTGATGACTATTCTCTCTCCTAATCAGCCACTCGTTGCCAACTTTAGTCCTTCTAGGTTTTTCCACTCCGCAGACTGCACACCCACTTGGAACTAGATAGACAGAGTCACGTTTGAATTATTTTTAGCAAACTCCTTCATCATTACTCATACACTCCTAATTAATCACATTAATAAACCTAGAACTCTCACGATTCCTACGCCATTTCACATCCTACGCATTCATCCCACATCCACTGACTTTGACACGACAGCATAGCAAATTGGTTATGTCAGTAAACACTGTGCGTTCACGCAAATAGTTTCTAACTCTTCGAGTTTAGTAAACACAAAAGGCACATGAAGATAACACATTTAAATAAGGAGGAAGTTTCTATAGGCCACAATGATGCATGCTTTAAGTGCCTTTATAAAATATGAATTGTAAAATGGTCTTGATGGTTTAACAATGCATTGTTATATGATCTGAGAACTTGATAATGTGCAATAATCTGCTGTGGTTTGTCTTACCATGCTTGATGCTTGGGTTCTGCCTCTACATAAGTACAGCAGTTTCTTAAAAACTGGCCCACGGTAAGAATTTTTTTAAACATAGAGAATAATATATCTATTGAATACCATTCATTAACATTTATCCTATTTATTAGCCACGGTAAATTGCATTTCTATACTTTAATAAAAAAATGTTTGAATGAATAATGTACCTAACCTGCTTAATGCCTGTCATCATTTACTCACCCTTTTATTGTTCCAAACCTGCTCTCAGAAAAAAAGGTACAAAAGCTGTCACTGGGGCGGTACCTTTTCAAAAGATACACTTTTGTACCTTTTAGGTACTAATATGTACACTTTAGGTACTAATATGACCCTTTAAGGTAACAATATGGACTCGAAAGGTGTGCCAATATGAATATGAAATGTGTGCCTTTTGAAAAGGTACCGCCCCAGTGACAGCTTCTGTACCTTTTTTTCTGAGAGAGTGTATGATTGTTTTTCTTCTGTAGAACAAAAATATATTTGGAAAAATGTTTCAACTGTTTTTATCCATACAGTGAAAGTCAATGGGGTCTATTGCTGTTTTGGACCCTACTGCATTGTATGGATGAAACACATTTTCAGTCATCTTCTTTTTTGTGGTAGCCTACATGTTTGACACAACATCAGGCTAGAGTAAATAATGACAGAATTCTCATTTTGGGGGGAACTATTCCTTTAACAAATGTTTAAAAACAATATCAAAACATTGTGAAGTTATAAGATGTTTGGACTTGATTGACCTGTTCTGATCAACCTCTATCCGCTGTTGTGGGTCCGCAGAGCTGTTCATGTGAGCACAGAGCCTGAGGTAGACGTATGGGAAATCCTCCAGAAAGCTCCACCATCAGCGTATGAAAAGATTGCTTTCCAGTATGGAATCACAGACCTGCGGGGGATGCTTAAGAGACTCAAAAAAATGAAAAAAGAAGAGAAGAAAAGTGCAGGTTTGTAACCTTGTTGAACTTTGTTAACTGCACAGGCCACATAAGTGACATATGTACAGTGCCTTGTGAAAATATTCATACCCCTTCATTTTTTTTCTTGTTTCTGCTATGTTGTTGCCTTATGTTGAACTGCTTTAAATTACTTGTTTTCACATACACCACAATAACAAAGCAAAAAAACACACCATGACAACTTTATAAAAATGTTATTAAAAATAAAAAAACAAACAATTACATTTCTGGTACACTTGAAATTTAGCTCTGGAGCATTCATATCGCTTGTACGTTACTACACTTCAGAAGGAGTTAACCTGTGGCAAATTCAATTGAATGAGTATGATTTGGGAAGGCACACACCCCTCATCAAAAGGTCTAACAGCTGAAAATGCATATCGGAAAAAAAAAGATTGCACTACTGCCTGTAGAGTGCACAAAGAGTGAAAAAAGTAGAAAAAATCTACTGCATTAAAGGTTCACAGATGCATGTAGTCTCCGTTATCCTTAATGGAATAAGTTTGGAACAACCAGGACTCTTCCTTGAGCTGGCCTCCTAGCCAAACTGAGCAATTGATGGAGAAAGGTCTTGTTAGAGTGTTGACCAAGACATGATGGTAACTCTAGTTGAACTCCATATACTGTATGGAGATGGGAGAAACTTACAGAAGGACAGATATCACTGCAACACTCCACCGATCTGGGTTTTATGGCAGTGTGGCAAGACTCAATCCACTCATTTCACATATGAAAACCCACTTGGAATTTGCAAAAACCACCTAAAGGACTCTCTGACTGTGAGAAACAAGATTTTCTGGTCTGATTAACCTGATGAACCTCAGTTCCAAGCATCATGTATATAGGAAACCAGGCACTGCTCATCCCCTGCACAGTAGCATCCCAACAGTAAAGTGTGCTGGTAGCAGCCTGTTTTTCATCAGCAGGGACTGAGGGACTTACCATAGTAGAAGAAAAGTTCTACACAGCAAAATATAGTGATAGCCCTAATGAAAACTTAGTCCAGAGCATTCAGAAACTCAGACTGGGCAGAAGGGTCACCTTTCCAGGACAATGACCCTAAGCACACAGCAAGAGTGGCTTATGGACAACTCTATGAATGTCCATCAAATAATTCTGGAGAAACCTGAAAATGCCTATCGGCCCTATCCAACCTGCCAGAGCTTGAGAGGTGAGGAGAAGAACGGCAGATTATTGCCAAATGCAGAGGCGCATTTAATTTAAAGAAGTCTAACATAAGTCAGCAACATAACAAAATGTTTAAAGAAAATTATATACATTTTGCAAGGCACTGAAAGTAATTTACTAATTTGACTGTTAGCGATAGGTCAAGTTGCAATGATGATGGTGAGATATATTAAGTGGATTAGAACAAAGTATACTTTCCTACTCCCAGCAGTTTTGTTGCTTCAAAACGGATCTGTTCAATAAAAAACCTCAAACGTTTTAACATGCTCATGTGCAGCACATTTGTTTCTAATAGTGGTGACTTAGCTTTTCATCTTTATTTTAACCACAGCATTTCTGAGGAAGCTGGACCCAGCCTACCAAGTCGAAAAGGGACACAAGATCAAACTGCAAATTGAAGTGGCCAATTCAGATGCAGAGGTTAAATGGCTAAAAAATGGACAAGAGATACACCCAACTGGAAGGTATTTACTTAGGTCCTTTCACTGTTAAAAAAACATGTTTGAGTCGCATGCATTCTCAAAATAGTAAGTATATGGAAAGGATTACAATTAACTATTTTTTTTTTTACGTCTGGCAACACTGTGTGCTTATGGATGGATGGTGTGCTCTTCCTGCTCTCCGCTGTCAACCCTAGCAAGTGAGTGGCACTCAACAATATGCTTATGACAATATGTAGCCTAAACATAATCAGCAACTTCAAGGCTTGTCTCTGTGGGGTTAGATGTCTCAAACCATCTCAAACTGTCGACTATGAATATGCAGGGACAGTTTTCCAAGAATACATAGCAGCTCTGTAAACTCAGATGTCAGCTGTGCCGATGGCTGGAGGCTGTCAGATGTTTAAGGACTCAAATAACAATAGAACAAAAACTATCCTCAATGGCTAATAATATTTTTCAGTGACCTTAGTTAAAAAAAGCCTTTTATAAAAATACATCTTGTGAACTGAAGATTTTTTTTAATCGAGTGTTGTCATACGTTTACAACTGTCTATTATTTATTTGCCACAATATTTTTGACATTATATTGTCATCATATCAAGGTTTTTCACGTTAAACAAGTGATTCGTTCATTTTCTGACATGTATTGTTAATGTATGTTTGGAAGAGCCTCTCCAGCAGTGATGCTTTGTCCCCATCTAGAGAGAACAAACCTGGATCTGCTACTAAACAATTTCTCATCTTCCCACAGGTACATCTTTGAGAGTGTAGGCAACAAACGCTTCCTCACTATCAACAACTGTACTCTGGCAGATGATGCTGCTTATACCTGCATGATTGGAGATGAGAAGACCTTCACTGAGCTCTTTGTTAAAGGTAATTAACTTGCAGACAGGAATCTCTAAGAAAAGACTAAATGTTATAGACCAATAAATATTTGATATAATTGAAATATTTTAGCTATATTATTTATGCATTTTTGTTTTTTATTGCTCTCTGCCTTCAGAGCCTCCTGTTCTGATCGTACGTAACCTAGAGGATCAGATGGTTATGAAGGGAGAACGAGTAGAGTTTGAGTGTGAAGTGTCTGAAGAGGGGGCTCAAGTCAAATGGTAGATCTGTCAACATGCACACACTTCCTTTTCCCTTCCGTTAGTAGTGACAAATGTTCATCCATAATGAGCATGAAAAGCTTATAGCTGTACTAGCCTGCAGTACACCAAAGATATCAAACAACACAAGAGAAGAGTTTAGAAAAGGTGACCATTTCTCAGGCTGTCCTGGATGAGTCAGAGTCCTGGCATTCCACAGAAGTCCAGTAGATGGCATATGTGTTTCTTTTAACATGGCTGGCTGGCTGGTTGGGTGAGTCACACTGACTGACAGATGGTGGTGTGTGAGTGAGTGCTGGTTCTGCCATAGCTGTAGCCAAGGCTCTATATCACCCTGGACTGTAAATGATCAGTGCCTGGAAAAGGTCATAGCAGCCTTTTAGCACCTCACAAGTGTCCTAGAATGGAATGAGAAAGTCACTGGCTGTTTATGGCACCTCTCTTGAATAGTGGATGACTTTCATGATTAGAGAAAGGCAAAAGTAGATACTGTTCCTAGTACTGGAATGCCACAATGTAGGACTTTAATATTACAAGTGTAAAGGCGTAATAATGTGGTTTTGTGTCTTTAATCTAAACTGATTGGAATGAATCGGCATCTGATGTAGAGTTGCATCGCTTGGGGGTCGGTGTAAAAGCTTATGTAAGAATGAGAAAGATTAGCAGCTATTAGCTTACTATGTCAGCCATTTGATTTATCCCGATTGCTCCCACTAACCCGCTGTAATGCTCATAAATCAAGCTTTACATTTTAGAGGTTGTTACTATTGAGTACTATTATTGAGTGCCATATTACTGTTAGCCATGACATTACCAATGTTTCTGTTCTTTCATGTTCAGGTGCAAAGTTTCTTGGAATTTCCTTCTTGTAATATTTTCTGTCATAATTTTTTCCCCAACTGCATTTATGTATATTTATGTGTAATGTACACACACAGTTTAATGAGACTCTGACCTAAGCATCAACTAATATTAATGAATACCAAAATTCTGACCTGTACAGGGAGAAAGATGGAGTGGAACTTACCCGAGATGAGTCCTTTAAATATCGCTTCAAGAAAGATGGATGTAAGCATGTCCTTATCATTAACGATGTGACCAAGGAGGACTGTGGCCACTACAGAGTGAAAACCAATGGAGGGCAATCATTAGCAGAGCTCATGGTTCAGGGTAAATATCTGAATTTGGAGAGTTTCAAGTCCTCCTATATTTGCAGCCACAGAGGTTTTCAGATTTGTACTGTAACTTATTGAACAAATTCCACCCTTGATAGTGGAAGGGATCAATTAATTATATATATTATTGCTGTCAAACGATTAATCGCAATTAATCGCATCCAAAATAAAAGTTTTTATTTACATAATATATGTGTGTATACTGTGTATATTTATTATGTATATATAAATACAAACACATGCATGTATATATTTAAGAAAAATATGTTATGTTTATATATTAAATATATTTATATAAAATATAAAATATAAGAATATAAATATAAAAATGTAAAAATGTATACACGTAAATATTTTCAAAATATATAGTGTATGTGTGTGTATTTATATATACATAATAAATATACACAGTACACAAACATATATTGTGTAAACAAAAACTTTTATTTTGGATGCGATTAATCACGATTAATCATTTGACAGCACTAATATATATATATATATATATATATATATACTTATATATATACTTTGCACATTAAGTAGTCATTAAGGTTTCACGCTCATGGCCATGTCGTTCAAACTTCACCTCTCATCAGTTTAGAAAACATGGCCACCAACACTTTTGTACAAGGTTAACATTCACAATGCCAACATGCCAGCTATTGTTAGACCGCCTGACCCATATGTTTTAACAGAGCAGGTGACTCTGTCTGTTCCTCCCTCACTCTCGCTTTCTGTCATTGTCACACACTGCTCCATCCGTCTCTTTTAATAGCATCTAAGAAAGATTTATGACTCATTCCCTTTCTCTCCCATTTCTTTTTATTGTTTGCTTCTGTCTCTTTCTCACTCTCTCTACTCCCTCTGTCTCCTATTCTGAGTCTTGAAGCATGTATAGCACTTTACAAGCAAACTGATACCCAGGTATGTCTGCTACCAGCTTGTCTGGGCTTTTGATCAAGTACAAGAGGTGCCAAGAAAAAAAAAGCTGCCCAGTAATACTGTAACTCTACCAGCCCATCAGTGGGATTGTTACCTTTCTTTACCCCACCTCTCTTTATTATCTTAAAGGGATAGTTCACCCAAATATGAATCTGTTACTCACCTGCATGTTGCTGCAGAACCATATGATTTCTTTCTTCCGTAAACCACAACAGGAAGGATGTTAATGCAAATGGTGACAAGGGTCGTCAAGCTCTAAAAATAAAATAAAAAATGAATTTTTAACTTGCCTAAATCCCTTACAAAAATTGTACAGTATCAGATGTCAATACTATGGGTACAGAACATTTACTAGCTATATTCACAAACTATAGTGTTTACATGTTACATCAAGGTACTTCAAATGTTTTCCATGTTACTATGATGTTACATCTAAAAACATGTTATTTCCAAGTTATGTTTTAGTTAGTAATGATAACATATGCTAGAATAGCTTTTGTGGCGTAATGTGGTAAGCATCCATTATTAGTTTTTGGTCATGTGTGATGACTGTGTCCTATTTGACCTCTGACCTTTAGAGAAACAGCTAGAGGTCTATCAAAACATTGCTGACCTGACGGTGAAGGCCAAAGACCAGGCTGTGTTCAAATGTGAAGTTTCTGATGAGAATGTGAAAGGCATCTGGTACAAAAATGGAGTGGAGGTGAAACCTGATGCCAGAACTCATATCACACACATTGGCAGGTAAGTGCTAGTGTTTCTAAATATTAAGTTGGAGATTTCCTCATGTCTATAAGTAAAAGTCTCAAATGAAGGTTCATTCTTCAAATTTAGGTAAAAAAAACAAAACATGGTTTAGCTAAACCATGCGTGTTTAGATTTAGCTAAACTAAATGGTAGCTATACAAGTAACTCAACCTGCAAAAACACTGCATACTGCCAAAAGCAAAAGCAGCTCTAAAAGAGGTATAAAATGTGGTATTCATAATGAAATATTAGTAAAATAACATTTAAATAATAAAATATAAATAAAAACAGTGTTAGTGTCTTAAAAAGTAAACTACACCATCGTAGTCATGTGGCATTTTTATGGTAACGCTCAAGTATTGTGCTTACTTAAATCCCAAAAACATGTCTAAAACATCATAGTCCATTGTAACTTAATGGTAATTTTATTTTTAGGCGTTTTGGAATTTCTTGACCTGTACCTTCAGCCAGCGTTCTTTTTGTTCCCTCTGCTCTGTTGTAAATGTTGTAAAAGAAACGCTAGTTACGTATGTAACTGTGGTTCTGTGAATTCCAGATGGCCACCAGAGGCAGTGCTAAGCACTAGTGGATAACGCTGCGTAAGCTAGATAGGCCGAGAAAAATCGAGGCGGCCCCCATTGTGACCCCTAGAGGACGCAGTTCGAAGTTCCACGAAAGGGAACGCTAGTTACGTATGTAACTGTGGTTCTGTGAATTCCAGATGGCCACCAGAGGCAGTGCTAAGCACTAGTGGATAACGCTGCGTAAGCTAGATAGGCCGAGAAAAAATAACAACATAGTCACGTCATGACGTCGACCGAGATGCAAGGATATAAACCACAGCAGCTCGATGCCCAGCCTCGGAATGCTTTCTCGCGTATTCTGAATGATGGGGTGTGTACCTCACCATAAGAGACAAATAACTGATCTGTCTGTCTAAAAGGAGCAGTAGACTTAACATAGCACCTCAAAGCTCTTACAGGACAGAGAAGATGAGACCTCCCCCCGCCTGCATTGGAAGGAGAAAGAGGAGGTTGAAAAGCAGTCAAATTAATAGACTGATTCACAAATTGTGGCGACAAGACCTTAGGGAGGAAGGTTGGATTAGGCCGAAGGATGACCCCAGAATCCTCTGGTAACCAGTGTAAGCACGGTACACTCACTGACAGGGCATGAAGCTCACAAACACGTTTAGCAGAAGCAATGGCTAACAGGAAAGATACCTTTAAGGACAACCACTTAATATCCACAACATCCAATGGTTCAAATTGCGGTGTGCAAAGAAACTCTAGAACAAGTGGCAAGTCCCAAACAGGAAAGGGAGTAGAACGAACAGGTTTTATACGTCTTGCTCCCTTCAGAAAACTACATACAAGGTTGTGAGACCCCAAGGATGCACCATCAATCGGGGCATGATAAGTAGATATGGCAGCAGCATAAACCTTTAAGGTAGAAGCCACCTTGTTGTCATCTAAAAGATGCTGCAAAAAAACTCAATACTTTCGGCACAGTACAATGAACTGGGTCAAGTCCTTGATCCCCACACCAACAAGAAAAATCCTCCACTGAGCAGCATAAAGCTGTCGTGTTGAAAGAGCCCTAGCGTTACCAATAGTGTTCAGTACTGCTGGCTCACAATCAGTTAACTGAGAAGTGGACCCACTGGCCAAACCCAAAGCTGAAGACGAGCTGGATCTGGGTGCCAAACACGGCCGTTCAGCTGAGAAAGCAGGTCCCGTCTAATGGGAAGATACCATGGTTCGTCCTATAACAGACTCAGAAGAAGAGCAAACCATGGTCTGGCTGGCCAACGAGGTGCCACTAAAGCATCCTGTGTTTGGACAGGAATATTCGATGTAGGGTCTCCCATAGAAGTGGAAAAGGAGGGAATGCGTACAATAGGCAGTTCGGCCACTCGTGAGCTAATGCATCCTGTCCCAATAGGCTGGATGTCTCGGTCCTCGCAAACCACCAACGGCAATGTGTGGTTAGCTCCGAGGCAAATAGATCGACCTCTGCCTTGCAACTTGTCTGTTGACAAATCAGCTGCACCACATCCGGGTGAAGCCTCCATTCGCCCAGATGCAGTAGGTCTCTGGACAAAGCAACTGCCACTTGATTGTCTGATCCTGGGAGATACATTGCCTTTAATGAAGTCAGTCGGCCCTGAGACCATCTGAGGATTTTGCGGGTTAGCTGTAAAGATGCAAGAGACCCGGTGCCGCCTTGGTGATTCAAACAAAAGATTGTCGACGTGTTGTCAGACCGGACAAGCACATGCGGCTCTGATCTGGTAGGAAGTGTTGTAGTTCTAGATACACTGCCTTCAGTTCTAGAACGTTGATATGTTCTAATGCCTCCTTTTCTGACCAGTGACCACCAATCCCCCTCTGGTTCCATGTTGCCCCCCATCCTGTTAGCGAAGCATCGATGTGATCACTTCTTGATGAGAAGGCACCACCCCTAGTGGCACTCCAGCCCTCAGAAATGTTTCACATTTCCAGGGTTTCAGTGCTCGGACACAAGCAGGAGAGACAACAATCATGTGATAATGATGTCTCGTTGAGTTTAGCCCTAGGCTGTTGCTCCACCTCTGAAGGGGCCTGAGGTGTAGCAACCCTAAGGGAATCACAGCTGTGGCAGCAGCCAACCTCCCCATTAGTTGTAGAAGGACACCATAAGTTATCCTTGCTCCCAGGCGGAAACGAGTCAGTAACTGAAAAATACTGTCTGTCCGAGTGTGAGACAGTGTAGCAGACATTGTGACAGAACTGAGCATTATTCCTATGAAGGTTATAGTGTGCTCTGGATCCAAATGACTTTTTGTGTCATTCACAGTAAGGCCCAGATTCTGTATGTGCTCCAGAACAATCTTGGTGTCGCGTAGAGCATGCACTCTTGTTGGGGCACAGAGAAGCCAATCGTCAATGCCCTTGGACCAAAGAGGAGAAAGGGCATCATGCATCTCGTAAAAACACGAGGAGCCAGAGATAGCCCGAATGGCAGGACCCTGAAAGCTGAATCTTAGGAACTTCCTGTGGAGGAGAGCAATGGGAACATGGAAGTAAGCATCCCTCAAGTCTACACTCACATAACTGTCTCCTTTCATCATAGATCGAACGTCGACTGTGCCCAACATCCGAAAGGGAAGACATTTTAGGAACACATTGAAGCGTCGCAGATCGAAAACTGGACGAAAACCGCCATCCTTTTTTGGAACGAGGAAGTAAGTTAAGTAAAAACCTTCTCTCTGTCTGAGAAGGGGGACTTTCTCTATGGCTCCTTTTAACAACAGCGAACAAATTTCCATGGAAAGGGTCATTAAACTGGTTGAATCTTTGACGACTGTCGGAAGAATTCCTGAAAACCTTGGAGGCCGGCGTTGGAACTGCAGACTGTATCCCTTGTTCAGAGTCGTCAGAACCCAGGGGTCAGATGTTGAATTTTCCCAGTAATGTAGGTGTTGTACAGTGAAACGCCGACTGCCGCCCAGGAACTTCAGGGTTTTGGGTTTCTGCTCTTTGGACCTGTGTGGGGGGGTGGGGGTGCGCTGACGTGGCCCTCCTTGATGGTGGCGGGGAAAAGGGCAGCACGACTGAGTCTCTTCAGCCACTCTATGTCACTGTGGCATTTGAAGTTGTGGACCGCTGTGGTGACGCAACCGCTGCTCTGAGCTTGAGTAGCGTGGGTGAGCCGGTGTCAATGGCATCCTAAAAGAAGGAGCCCGTGGGGCCTGAGTTAAAGGGCCATTAAACTGGTTGAATCTTTGACGACTGTTGGAAGAATTCCTGAAAACCTTGGAGGGTGGCGTCGGAACTGCAGACTGTATCCCTTGTTCAGAGTCGTCAGAACCCAGGGGTCAGATGTTGAATTTTCCCAGTAATGTAGGTGTTGTACAGTGAAACGCCGACTGCCGCCCAGGAACTTCAGGGTTTTGGGTTTCTGCTCTTTGGACCTGTGTGGACCTGTGTGTGCCTGAGCAAGCCATACCTGGCGTTGTGCTGTTAGAAGGGTCGCCGACAGTGTCCCAAGTTCACGTGTCACATGACCTATAGTCAACAGGGCAATCTGTAAGAACTGAGGTACAGAGGGATAAACATTCGCTGACTCCAATGTGGTGTTACAGGCAAGCAGTAGTTGGCAAATAGTATTCTCCACTCGGGTTATGTAGGCTACAGACTCATCACAAACCAGTCTCCTTTCATCACAGATCGAAGAACGTCGACTGTGCTCAAAATCTGAACGGGAAGACACTTTAGGAACACATTGAGGCATCGCAGATCCAAAACTGGAAGAAAACCGCCATCCTTTTTAGGAATGAGGAAGTAAGTTGAGTAAAAACCGTCTCTCTGTCTGAGAAGGGGGACATTCTCTATGGCTCCTTTCAACAACAGTGAACGAATTTCAATGGAAATGGCCATTAAACTGGTTGAATCTTTGACGACTGTCGGAAGAATTCCTGAAAACCTTGGAGAACTTCAGACTGTATCCCTTGTTCAGAGTCGTCAGAACCCAGGGATCTGTCGGCGTTTGAATTTGCAGACCGCTGTGGGGATGCAACCGCTGCTCTGAGTTTGAGTAACGTGAGTGTGCCGGTGTCAATAGCATCCCAAAAGAAGGAGCCCGTGGGGCCTGAGTTAACTGTCGTGTGGCCTCTGATAACTTCATTCTCTTTTCTAATAGTTCAGAAATGTTGGGGCCAAAGAGATGCCCCGGTACAATTGATAGTTCCCTCAATGTCTTCTTACAATCTTCAGGCAACCTTGCCTGAGCAAGCCATACCTGGCGTTGTGCTGTTAGAAGGGTCGCCGACAGTGTCCCAAGTTCACGTGTCACATGACCTATAGTCAACAGGGCAATCTGTAAGAACTGAGGTACAGAGGGATAAACATTCGCTGACTCCAATGTGGTGTTACAGGCAAGCAGTAGTTGGCAAATAGTATTCTCCACTCGGGTTATGTAGGCTACAGACTCATATGCTTTTTTCAGTAATGTGTCAGTACGACCACATTGTGCACTTGGGCAGCGTACATTGCCTCTAAGCGCTTCATCTGGTGATACCACCAATGCTGCTACCGGCTGTTCAATTTCAGGTGCCCAACCCACCCCAATAGAATCAGCCTCAGCCATTGAGGCAAGAGTGCGGGCTGACTTTGACCTCCTCATAGGCGCATTGGAGCTTGTTAATGCACTGGAAAATTCAGTAACAAAGTCCTTACATGGTGGCATGGTAAACGTACTATCAGCAATTTGACTGAAGAAAACATTCAGTTTCAGTCTAAATCGTGAACCCTTTTGATTCATTCTTTGAAAAGAACCTATTCAAAGAATCATTCACTGGTTCTGAATCAAAACAGATGAACAAAACCGAAATGATAAACAAACTTTCGTCAGAAAAGTAGAGTTTGTCGAGTGCTAACGCCAGGTCCCTTCTTAATAAATTAAAAAATACAGAAAATATGGATGTTACAACATCACTTCGCTATTTGTTACAACCGTGCAACACTGCTAAGTTGTTTATATTGTGAAGTTACTTTTTTATTTATATTTAGGATTCATAAACTGACCATTGATGAGGTAAAGCCAGAGGATGAGGGTGACTACACCTTCGTTCCTGAGGGCTATGCCTTCAATCTCTCTGCCAAGCTCAACTTTTTAGGTACATCCTTTTAATTATTACTGAAGAATGTGAGTTTAAACTGCTCTTTAAAAAAATAAATGAATAAAAATCTGTGCCATTGTTTTTGAAATTATTGTGTTTTATCTTTACAGAGGTCAAGATTGACTTTGTTCCTCGCCAAGGTAAAAAATAAAAACAGCATTAATATAATTTATAATCATGATGTGTTTCTGGTAACTTAATTAAACCATAAATATTGAAATGAAAGAAAGTAACCCTTTTTTTGGAACACTTAACTTTTAGAAATGTGTCAACATTTTTTTAAAGATCCTCCCAAGATTCATCTGGACTGCATGGGCCGCACCGCTGAGTCCACAATCTTGGTTGTGGCTGGAAACAAACTGCGACTAGATGTACCAATTACTGGAGATCCTGCCCCCACTGTGGTTTGGACAAAAGGAGAAAAGGTAGGAGCGATTCATTAAATTTTGTCTGGTATTGATTTCTTACAATCCCTGTCTGAGCGAATAGGTCTGAGCTGTGTTTCCCAAAAGCATTGTAAGCCTAAGTAGATTGTAGAAACCATTGGCAGTAATGATCTGTAAGATCTGCTTGAAAAATGCAGCCTTGTCAAAAATGGCAGAATACCCAAACCTACACTAAACTTTTCCTTTAGAATGTTATTTAGTTAGAAAATCATTTTTTGAGGACAATTTATGTTTTTGAATTCACCTGCAGTTTGTGGTATGCTTTATATGTGTACTGTAATTCTTTACGATTTGCCATGTTGTCCTACAAATGTAACAGGAGATCCATCATCTGGGCTTCAGAAGCCTTGAAAGGTAGGTACTGTAACATCTCCCAGCCATAACCAGAAAGTCTTGTCGAGGCTCACTGGGACTGGGAGTTTTGTGCTGAGATGGAAGGTTGACAGTTCAATTTCTCACACTTAACCTCTGACATGGTTGCCATGGCTTCACAGCTTCTGCTCTGCTCATGTAGGGTAGCTTTAAGGAGGGAGAGTCACGACCTGAACCAAGGCATATATGGACAGCGAAGAACGGTGAAGTGAGTTTGGGCCTTAACAATCCCCGACTGCTTGTACACTGCACATAATCATGTGTCTTGTATGCTTCTTGCTTTGGCTGTGATGTTATTGACCTTGTGATGTCATTGATCATGTTGCATGATGTTGCAGTCTTGATCAATTTATCCAGGGGCACACTCCATATACTGTGTATATATATATATATATATATATATATATATATATATATAAGTATTTCTTTTTTTTAAAATATAGTTTAGTGATTGAAATTGTTAAAATTTGATAAAGCATCCTTTTTCTTCTCCACTTTAACTGTGGTTTGTCTTTTTCTGGGTTAAAAGGAAACAAGCTGCTATAACATTAACACAAGCATCACTTTGACACACAAATCATCATACTTTTGAGATCTTGACAGTTTTTTCACACACACCACATACAACTCTGTAGAATACTGTGTCTACAAGGTGAGTGAATCTTTTATAATCTAAAGTTCGTAAAATATAAAGTTTGAAAATAAAAGGTAAGCACCATCCATTCATAGGGGGTATTTAACAGGTAACGTATATTATCTGATAATTCAGATATTTGTGGTATCTATGGGTGTTTTGGCATTTTGGCAAGTTTTATATTTGATCTTCCTCTGTGATCTATTCCTGATTGCCTGAATTCAGAGTTGAATTTGAAGTCCTGTGATCGATCCAGATTGACTTTTAACATTTTTTAACAAGTGGTTTTGATTGGTTGTTCAGGTGCTGACAGACTCAGATGGGCGTGTCCATGTGGAGAGTACCAAAGGCCATTGTATCTTTACCATTGAGGGGGCGGAGCGTCAGGATGAGGGCGTGTACTCTGTCATTGTACGCAATCCTGCTGGAGAGGATACAGCTGACATTAATGTCAAAGTTGTTGGTAAGCTTCTTTAAACCACATTACGATGGGTACGTTTCACAGCGGTTCTCTGGGAGGCTGAAGTTAGGCCCTGATTTCATTATGGTCTATGTTGCAGCACTCTTTTGTACACTTCAGAACTGCACTAAAATATAATGCATCAAAAGGCCACAAACAAAAATGTCCACATCTTTTTCTGTCTGCTTATTATTATTATTTATTGCCTTCAGGAGGTTTGCAGTATTCAAATGTATAGAAGAGAGCTGCTATTTGAGAGCAAAATGCCTTTAATGTAGCTGCATATTAGCTGTACAGAAGGAATGGTGTGACTAAGCTTTTGATGTTTTACAGATGTGCCAGACCCACCTGAAGCTCCTAGAATCCTTAGTGTCGGTGAAGATTCATGCGTTGTTCAATGGGACCCCCCACTCTTTGATGGTGGCCAGCCAGTCATAGGTGACTTAATAATAATTGTACACAGTATTACTACAGAGCTATATATAGCTTTACTATAAGTAGTTCATATTCTATTAAGTAAATCTTGTTGACATCACATGTTCCCAAAAACTATAAATACATTTTACTCAACCACTAATTAACACAAACTTCACCAGACTTGACGTTAAGTGAAGTGGCCTACATATTATGAAAAAACAACCTAATGAAAATGACCTATAATATTGCTGAAAATCCCCTTTTAAATGTGCACTTAAGAGGAAATGCATGATTATAACAATGTGCTCTTAATGTCTTTTAGGTTACGTTCTTGAAAGGAAGAAGACAAAGAGCTATAGATGGATGAGACTCAATTTTGATCCTTATAAAGAGACCACATATGAAGCCAAGAGAATGATTGAGGGTGTAGCCTACGAAATGCGTGTATACGCAGTAAACACCATCGGCATGTCACGCCCCAGTGCTGCCTCCCAACCATTTGTGCCAGTTGGTGAGTTCCATTGCTTTGATTTATAACTTTGCTTACATATTAGGAACTTGTTTGTTTCCCCTGCATTTATTTAAGCCTCTGTTGCAGATATTTAATTTTAATATGTAGTGGCTAATCAGGAGGATGGCATATGCTGAATGCCAGTTTTATGGATTCCATCCCCTGCTTTCATTATGATATATTGTGATTCAATATTGCTATTTTTGGAAAGATCCAAGATCTGCTTGTCAAGTAAAGGGATACTTTAACAAAACTAAACAAAACAAAACAAAAATAACATAATTCTTTAATCACCTCTCACGTCGTTCTTCTGTGGTATCCAGTTTCAGTTCCCATTGCATTCCGTTTTATTTTTTGGCCATACAATGCGAATCAATGGGAACTGAATCAGTTAGGTTACCAACATTCTACAAAATATCTTCTTTAATGTTCTACAGAAGAATGTAAGGCAATGTCATGATTCATGAACATCATGAGGGTGAATAAATTATGCAGAATTTCACTTTTGGATGAAATATCCCATAAGGGCTACTGTTTCTCTCCAGAGACATAGAGCTATTTAGCCACATCTTTTCATATAAGTGGTGCAATTAATAGGTTGTGTTATTTTAAAGTGTTCTGAAAAGGTCATTTTCAGTTCAAACAATAGACATGTTAATGATGCATTAATTTTTTGCTCATCTTTAACATAATCTTATAGTGAGCTGCATTGCTATCTGTGTAGACTGTTGTCTGTTACAAGACAGCTGATTAGGAAACTATCCATGGCATCCTTCTCTATAAATAATGGCATGTTAGCACTTTGCAAAGCTGTATCTACTGCATTGTCAAAAGAGAGGAGGGGGCAGGACAGTGCACTTCCTTTGTTTCTTGCCTGTCACCGTTACTATGCCCAGAGAAGACCACAGCAGGTGTTACAGAACGGACAGACACTTTTCAGGAGGCTCTACTTGTAAAACTCACCAGACTGAAGTGATCCAGAGACAGAATGACCAAACCGATGCTCCCCAAGACTGCTGAGAAGAAGCCAGCTGAGGCACCGCCGGCTGAAGCACCACCGGCCGAGCCAGTGCCAGATGTCCCAGCAGAAACCAAAGAGCCAGAGCCAGAAGCACCACCTCCACAAGAACCTGCACAAGAGGCCAGTGCTGAAGCTCCTGCACCTCCAGCTGAGGAGGCAACTCCTGCTCCTCCTGAAGATGGAGCTTCTCCAGCAGAAGCAGCACCACCGGGAGAGGAAGGGGCACCATCTGCAGAAGCACCTCCAGAGGAAACTGCCCCCCCTCCAGAGCCGGAACCAGAGCCTAAACCTGTTGGCAGTAGGCATCTATTTCTAACTATCTTTTGTGGAGATTATTAATCTCCAGGGATTATTCCACTCTCCGTGACATCTTTATATATCTTTTTACGGCTGTCTTGATGCTTCATTGTCATTAACTTATTTCAAGAATACAGCATAGAGTAGCATTAAAACCTAAACCAGTTGTATAATGCCTGTCCACATGGGTATTGTATTGTAAACTTGTGTAATGATATGCTGTTGAGATAGTAGTCTCAATTGAAACAAGTAGAGGCTTGGGCCCGGAAACAGTATTACTTACATAATGACTTAACAAGCAGATTGTGTGAATGGTTGCATTCAAAAATATGGTTACATTAGTGAAGTGTTCGGGCAAAAAAAGTTAATTGTCAGTAGAGTAGCAATGTATAAAGCACATTTCATAATTAAGTCACTTGTGGTGTTCTTCTGGTTGTATCAAGTTGCATCTTGAAACCGATACAAAATCCACATGGGCAAATCTTTCACTCTCATTCCCAATTGCAAATTCCTGTTGACTAGGCCTAGATTTTACCATGAAAATTTGCAGAAGGATGGTAAACGGGAATGCACCTTAAGGCCTGAATAAGCATACCAAAGCAAAGCATGATCATTTTGCTCTGTTTATTTCTATTGGCTTCATATTTAGAGTGGTTGTTTGCATGTCAATGAATTGAATAATTTTCCCACTCTAGATAACTATTGACTAGATATGAATAGATGTTCTTGGATTTGCTGCAAGTTCACAGTCTTCATAAATACACAGCTTGACCTGAGCATGTCATTGGCGCTTAAATATGGCACAAACATTTTAGACTGGAGCTTGCTTACAAATCACAGCAGACAGCATGTATATCTTCAGGAGGCCCATATCACCACTACCCTAAGTTAAACTCAGACTCATTCAAGCAATGTTGGTTATTCTTGTCAGTAATGGAAGGCTATCTGTGAAGGTAGTCTCAAAGGTAAGTAGAGATGAACGTCACACAATTGAGGTTGCTTCCATAGTTTCCATGGCTGCTTAGTTTAGTGACAACGCTATGCTCTTCTCACATTCTTTAGTGGAACTTTACTGGAGACCACAGTGACAAGACCAAGTAAATCCAGCTATGTATTAAAAGTCTCCAGTACTATCTCTGTCTTTGATGGCTTAGTAACAGTATATAAGTGTAATACAGCTAATGTTGCACTCAAAATACATCATACACACAAGGGTTTTCCTTGCTGTCAGTTGACAAAGCTAATCCTTAGTACATCATCATTTCAGAGCTACGTGCAAAAATCCTAACCAATTTATTGGCTAAAGTGATAAAGGAAAGACAGATAAGATTGTCAGATGGTACATGATTGATTTACTCCAGCTGCCAGTACAAAAGAAATGGTATTTGGCCAAACCTTTATACAAGAACATAGTTTATTTTGACTGAAACACATACTCATTTGTATCAACTTCCTGTCCACAGCTCCGACCAGCGAGCCCACTGGCCTGTGTGTGGATGACATCAGCGATACCACCATCTCTCTGAAATGGAGGGCTCCAGAGAGGATAGGCTCAGCTGAACTCGAAGGCTATGGGGTTGAGTACTGCAAAGAAGGCTGTAAGTATGGGATGGTTTAAAGATGTATATGTTTGACAGAATTTCTTTAAATGTGTTTATAATGAGAATACACTTGTTTTAAAAAAGTTTGGTGTCAGTAGATTTTTAAATATATTTTGTCTCTAATTTTCATCAAGGCTGCATTTATCAAAAATCTGAAATATGGTGAAATATTGATACAATTAAAAATAACTGTTTTCTATTTTTAAAAAAACATTCCTGGGATGGCAAAGCTGAATTTTCAGCAGCCATTACTACAGTCTTCAGTTTCACTGAAGAAATGATCCTTCAGAAATCATTCTGTATGCTGATTTGGTGCTCAAGAAACATTTTTTCATAATTCTTTGATGAAAATAAAGTTCACAATGTAATTTTTTTGATCAATTTAAAGCATCCTTGTTGAATAAAAGTATAAGTTTCCTTAAAAAAAGTTGCATTGACCCCAACCTTTTTGAGCGGTAGTATAGCTTCATAAATTCAGGTGTAAAACATATATATTTTTTAACTGCATCAGAGTACTATTCAGAATAAATCCTCAATGCTCTGTGTTTGAAACCTTTATTTAATCTCTGTAGCTGATGAATGGATTCCTGCATTTTCGGGTCTCACAGAAAGAACCACTGTGATCGTCCATGACCTGCCAACTGGAGAGAAGATGCAGTTCCGCGTGAGGGCTTATAACATGGCAGGCCCAAGCCTTCCTGCCACATTGCAACAAGCAGTCACCATCCGTGAAATCATGCGTGAGTTACACAGAGAATGATCTTAAAATGTTTTGATAGCCTATTTAAGGTCAACATTTTAGAGTGATGGGGTTTTGCACAATGTGGACTGCTAGAGGTTCAAATATATCAGCTTTTTGTCTTCTAGATTGTGTTTAGAGACAGCATATGTTAATGCCTCTTGCTACAGATGAGTATACCTGATAATAGAATGAAACTAAGCTTATAAATGCTAATGTTCAGGCAAATGAGTTTTTTTTAAAGTGAAGATCCATCTATTGCATCGCATTACAGTTCACTGTTGGGAAGGAAATGAGATAGAAAATTAGACGCGGCCACCATGTGAATCACTTGCATTCTGTTATTGCAGAGCGTCCCAAAATCTGGCTCCCCCGTAACCTCCGCCAGACACTCATCAAGAAAGTAGGAGAAATGATTAACCTGGTAATCCCCTTCCAGGTGAGAAAAGTCATCCTTAAGATTGGGTTTGAAACGTGCACATCCCTAACAAAATTATACTGCGGAACATGTGACTAATCCATTCAAACAATTTAGATTTGTATGAAAAGATCCGGCAAAGTTCTGTATTGCTGTATTCAGCAGTATAATTTGTCGCAATATGAAACCATTGGCTGTCCTCCTTTGATGCAGACTTTGACCTCCATCAGCTAGAGCTTCAGTGTTTGGCTAGAGTGTAACTTCTCCACTTGTTTGTTTACAGAACCCAGTTTGTGAAACATAGATCTATGTCCTCTCACTCTATAAATACTCTGAGCTCTATGGCTGAAATTCAATGAGAGAGGCTGCATACAGATGGTAGTCAATGACACAAGTCTGAATTGCATCTGTAACACTCCTGTAGTGCCCAAAAACATCTATCTATCTATTCATCCATCCATCCATCCATCCATCCATCCATCCAACCATCTATCTATCTATCTATCTATCTATCTATCTATCTATCTATCTATCTATCTATCCATCTATCCATCTATCCATCTATCCATCTATCCATCTATCCATCTATCCATCTATCCATCTATCCATCTATCCATCTATCCATCTATCCATCTATCCATCTATCCATCTATCCATCTATCCATCTATCCATCTATCCATCTATCCATCTATCCATCTATCCATCTATCCATCTATCCATCTATCCATCTATCCATCTATCCATCTATCCATCTATCCATCCATCCATCCATCCATCCATCCATCCATCCATCCATCCATCCATCCATCCATCCATCCATCCATCCATCCATCCATCCATCCATCCATCCATCCATCTATCTATCTATCTATCTAT